GTAGGATGAGGTCTCCCAATCGAAGGGGTGAACTGCAATTTTGAAGATTTAACCCCAATGTTTATGTAAATGGTATCAGGAGGTCATGTCCTCCAGTAAGGTGACGGCTCAACTCCAGTGTTTGTGTAAATGTAAGCAGGAGGCTAAGTCATCCTGTAAGTGACAGCTCGATTCCAGTGGTTGTGTAAATGGTGTCAGAGAGCCACATCATCACATAAGGTGATGGCTCAACTTCAGTGTTTGTGTACATGCAATCAGAAGGCCACGTCATCTTGTATGGTGACAGCTCAACTCCAGTGGTTACCTAAATGGTGTCAGGAAGCCACATCATCCAGTATGGTGACAACTTGATTCCAGTGGTTTTGTAAAGTGTATCAGGAGACCATATCAACCAGCAAGGTGACGGCTCAACTCCTCTGGAGGCCACATCTTATCTACACCAGCAGAACACTGCCACCCTACTCTCAACTGAATGGTTCTAGCCTTTTCTTTGTGGAACTCATTCAGGAGGGTGCCTCCATGGTCAATCACCCTAGTGGCTTGGAACTGGAAAGTAGTAAGGACTCCCATACTCCACTCAAGGTAAGGAAGGTAACAATGCAGTGGAGAGTCACCACCAGAAACAGTGTAATTGGTGCCACTGAACTTTATTTTGAAAAGCAGACCATACCTAGTTGTTCACTCAAGGCATGGCAGGGATGGACAACAATCCCTTTCTGCTTTACTCATGCAGTCCATGGGTGGTATGGTCCAGTAAGGGAATATCTATGAAGCAGAATATTGTGAGGGTATTCACCATCAAGTGATCTTGTGGAACACCCCATCTCAACAAGGAGCATGTGAAGCCATGGAAAATAAAGCATGAATCAACAAGGCTGTACAGTGTGGATTTAGAGTTCAAGAATACCTGCTTAGGCACCACTTGCCACAGAGCAGGATTGATGTGATAAAATGAGATAAAGACCCCTGAAAGAAATAAAGTATGAATAAAACTCACCAGTTAAAACTGCACCAAAGTCAGGAGAGCAGCCACAATTTGCAGATGAAACCTCGAAGAAGAGGAAAGCATGACATGATGAAGATATTTGGAGATGAACAGACTGGGAGTGGTCCACATTCCAAATTGTAGAATGACCTTCGTTGGATAACGAAGATGAAAATAGAGGGAAAAAGTGAGATGTTGGTTCATCTCGCAGGGAAGTAGGAAGGGGTGGAAAGAGGACCTTGAGCATAGTTTCATCGTTCATGAAGTGCCCACTGAAGGGATCTCATACGGGCATGACCAAGAAGGACCACTGCAGTCATGGAAAAACACATTCCCAAAAGCGATAGAACCTTGAGAGCAGTAAGTGACTGAGCAAGAGAGCATGGTAAACCAAAAGTGCCATTGAACGAAGACATGAAGGAGAATACAGAGCGAGACTGATATTGGTGTTGAAAAAAAGACCCCCAAATGAACTAGATACTGAGTGGGTCGAAAGAAGGACTTCTCTAATTTGATCAACCAACCCACCCATGTTGCCAAAGAAAGGAGTTGGTGAGTTTGAGTGGCCAATTCCTGTTTGGAATGAGCCAGTCATCTATATAATAATAAAATTGCACCCCATAGCATGGAGATGATGTGCAAAAGCTTGGACTATGCGACAAAACACATAGGGAGCTGAGGCAAGTCTGAAGGGGAGTGCCTGAAATTGGTAAACCACCTCGAGATGGATAAACCAAAGGTAAAGTCAAGACCAATGTGCTATCGGGATGTGGAGGTAAGTGTTGGAGACATCCACCTTCATCATCCACAACCCTGAGGAAAACATCCATCTCAGGGTGAGAAAAAATTCCATGGTGCACTTGGGGAGTATGATGAAGCAGTTGGGGTAAGATAAATCAATGACCAGCCCCTAATTCCCAGTTTTCTTTGGAAAAACAAAAAGATGGAAATAAAAAACCCCAGAAGAATGGTGTACTGGTTCAATCACCTACTGCAAAAGCAACTCTCAAACTGCCTCTGACAGATGCTGACAGGTCACAGAATCTCGAGGATGGAAGGAAACGGGGCAAGAACAAATGGGAGGTGGAGAAGGAACTGGATAAAGAATCTTTCTGAGAGAACCTGTATTACCCATTGATAGTCAATAAAGGAAGAAACTCTAATAGTCAAAATCCCACTGGACCTAACCCACAGGGTAGTCACCAGTACTGTTGGTGATGGTGGTTGCATCATCGAGGAAATCGACGAGAAGAAGTACCCTGATGAGAAGGAAAGGGTAAGGGTTAGGAGGATGAGAGAGAGAAAAACGGGAATAGGTGGGTATGAGGCTCTGCCCGAGACAAATATTGTAAGGGTTGATTGCTGGTGGACCGATATCACCCAAGGTTTGATAGTTTCTGGGACAGTATCAAAGACATAAATCTCTGAGTTAAGTTGAAGATAAACTGACCCCAAGCCAAAACTGTGTCCTGACCTATAAGGTCCCAACAACCCAGAAACCACATATGTAACAACAGAGCTGAAGAAGAAATGCGGGCTAAAGTGGAGGAGAGAAGTGTAAGGGTATCTGCAGAAAACCCCTCAGAAGTTCTGTGGAGAGCCTCTGGGAGGAGATGTATGGAAGAAAGGTACCGTAAGAGAGTGGTTAGGTTAAGACATAGATGAGAATATTGGGCATGGATAAGCCTAACATTAGATTAGAAAGCCACCCACCAAATAGGTAACAATGAACCAAACAACTGCTGATCTAGAAATGGATAGTCTGCATGATAGTAAGAAAGGGCAAACTGATCAGAAGTCATTGGGAAGCATGGCATGCGAATCCCCTCATTCAATTGCAAGAGAAATTGATCCGCGTGTACCCGAATATCAGTGGAGGGAGGAAAGACTAAAAATGGTTGGGAAGCTTGTTCATGTAACAAGGAAGGACGAGGAGAATAAGAAACAGGGGAATGTGACAAAATATCACAAACTTGAGACACAAAATCTGTAAAGATCAAATTAGGCCTAGGTGATTCTTCAGGCTGTAGCTGGGAAGGAACAGTACACTCGGGAGGTGAGAAAAGATGATCAAAGTCCTCATCATCCTGAACAAAGTTAGCCATCTCAAGAGGAGCGTTGGTGATGTCAAGGGACAAAGGTTGATCCATGTAGCACTCCATCTCCCAATGTATTAAAGCAGAAAGATCCACTGTCGAGTTGCCCGCACCTGAGGCCTACGAAAAAACACTGGTCGTTGGTGTTTCCCATGAAGTGGTAACCTGAACTTTAGAACTCCTAGCACAAGAAAAGGTTCCCAAAAGTTGAGTGCAGAAATAGGGTGACAAGAAGGAATTGGTATAAAATAGATTAAAGGCAAAAGGAACCACTTTGTGTGGAAAAAAACATTTTTGTTTGTCACACTGGGAGCACTAGACACAGAGAAGAGTACATCTTAACTTACTGTCAAATGAGAAGTGAAAGTTTGGTAGAAGAGTGTAGAGGGAGTCACATGCGTAACGTGAGCATATCATGCTGCTATTAGTTAAGATATGATGATTTACATGTGAGACATGTTGGAATATAGCTATTCCAATTGGGGGGGAGTGGAAGGTTTGTGGCATACATAAAGAAAAAGTTTGCATAGAGAGGGTTGCAGTGAATGAGAATGGCTAATCTTGTGAGATGAGATAAGTACCTTATCGGAATACTCAACTTATAACATACATATTTATGGAATTGCATTCATATGTTATTTTCCAACAATACTTACAGTAATTCTATTAGTTTTTGGTGTAGGATATTTTTGATAATTTTAAATTAAAATATTTGGTTATTAACTGATGTATTAAAGTTTACTGGGTTGATAAGATTTTCTTTTTTTTTAATTTCGTGAAAAGCTACTCAAGGGCTATCTGTGCTAGTTGTCCCTAATTTAGAAGTGAAGAACTAGAGGGAACTCTTTTGCCAACAAAAAGAGGGATTGGCTGTAACAACATAACACCCTCATGGCTGAAAGGACAAGCATGTTAGGGACAGGATTCGAACTCACAACACAGAGATTATGATTTCAGCGCCCAAGCTACCAGTCCATGCAAGACTGAGAGTTAAGAAGAAAAATCTTTCATATTTTAGTGTGTCTGATAATATGTCCACAACCTTTTCATACAGACTTTGATACAATAAAAAAGTTGCCAATTTGTCTCTGTGGTTGTCAAGTATCCAACATCTGAACAGATCAGTCTACTTCTCTCAGAAGTCTTTACCAACACCCAGAATGTTTACCTTTTCACTGCAAAAATCTTTTAAAATAGACCAAAAGAAATATTTGATAAGAAAGATAGATTAAAAATATAAACTTTTAACTTCTGACCAATTTTGTATAGTAATAACTATCTACTATTATTACTTAACTAGAAATGAGCAAAGATAAAGTTTGTTTGTTTGTAATTAAGCACAAAGCTACACAATGGGTTATCTGTGCTCTGCCCATCACAGGTATTGAAACCCGGATTCTAGTGTTATAAGTCCGCAGACATACCGCTGGGTCACTGGGGGGCACCCACGTGAAGATAAATATGCACATTTCCAGGCAAGAAAGAATCATGCAAAAACTATTATATGAAGACATTTTTTTCAATGGAAGCATAATGATAATAACATCACAATAATTTAAAAAAAAGTCATAATTTAAAATAACATAACTGGAGAATTTTCTGAGACTTATATAAGATAAATATGCACATTTCCAGGCAAGAAAGAATCATGCAAAAACTATTATATGAAGACATTTTTTTTAATGGAAGCATAATGATAATAACATCACAATAATTTAAAAAAAAAGTCATAATTTAAAATAACATAACTGGAGAATTTTCTGAGACTTATTTGCTGGTAAAAAGAATTAACAAAAAACATCCAGGTACTAGAACACATAAAATGTATTTGTTTTGAACACCAGACAAATTTCAAAATATACTCCAATTAAATTATCCAAGGTACAATAAAATTGTTATTCCAACATAAACAATCCTACCTTTCCTCTTCTGAACATTTTCTGTCCAAATCCCTGACAAAAAGATGTGACAAGCGGAAACTCTACAAATCCATGTAAAGGTAAAAGATCACACACATTTCCCCAAAACCTGAAAAGAACAAATTCTATTACAACTAAGTCAACTACTCTACAATATCTGAAACAAAGTTATTAGAAATCAAGATTCTCACATGTATGAAATGTAGAGACAAAAAAAAAACATTAATTTTCATAATTAAAAATTCTGACTACAATGAATTATTAAGGTATAATTTCAAATGTGCTTAATGTGCTATCTCTCTCTCTATATGTATATATAATACTTATTTAAACTCAAAGGTTTCAACTTTTAAAATTTATTCATCTACTGAGATGCTTACTTTAAATAAAACTTGCATTAGCAGTAAACAAGAATAAGTGTTTAACAGTACTAGTAAGATGAAAAGAGGTCAAAACAAAAAAATGGAAAATCCTATATGAATATGGTGAGGTGATACAGCTACAAATGTACGATTATATGAAATAAGAAAGTCACAATTTTAGAAGAGGACAAATTGAGCTATTTTGATTTAATGTCAACTTCAGACTAACTACCATATGACACTCATATAAAGTGCAAGTTAGTCTCGACATTAAAGGTAAAGAATTATATAAAAACAATGACTTATGACAAAATTAAGCTTTCTGAAATAGATATGATTTACCGAAGCAGAGCAGTTCCACCTGTGGCATAATAAATGACTTACAAAACCATTTGGAACTTCATTCAATAATAAACGAGTAAAAATATTACAAGTCAGACACACAGTGTAATCTAAAAGTTTTGTCATAACAAAAGGTAGGAGCAGTAATGCTTGCTTTACTTTATGAATACACGTTAAGAAGTTTCAGGTAATTTTTATTTTCATGAATCTTCTCATGTCCTTCCAGGATACATTCCATAACCTCTTGGGGGCATGCACCCTAGTTTTAGAACCACTCTTCTGCATAGGATTATCAATTGAAAACACTTTTTTTTATCATTCTCAATAACAGGCAGATATGATTATGGGAGATAAAGATAAGATAATTGCAATTTTGAATAAAAGTTACATTATATGAACCATATATTACGTAACAACAAAATAAATGTTAAACTTTGTAACTAAACAGCCATCACAAGAGGAAACATGTTACAGAATTAACTGTTACAATAAAATAAAGCACTCTATCACTGTACTTGAAAAGAAAATTTGACCAACTGAATTCCATGATGAAGCTATACTGCTCAAAACAATAAAGATATTGTCAGCATTTTCTATGTTCTAGCTATGACAAAGTACAATTGCTGTTACTATAATGTGAATGAGATTTCTAGGTACATTTTTATTCAAAACAATTGTCAGGTGGCAGGCATGTCATGCACATTTCACTTGTATAGAAAAGTGAATGATACAGGGTGATCTCAGCAACTTAACCCGATGACTACGGCTACTAACTTGCTTAGTAGGCAATGCAAGTGTGTAGGCAAAATCGTTTGTGAATTTAAAAAATGATAGAGAACTTATCTTTTAATGAATTTCTGATTTTATTTTTTATAAATAGTAGCATAACATTCAATTATTTGTACAAAATTGTATTATTTAAAGAAGTTTAAAGATGAATTTAATGAAAAAATTCCTAAAATACGTTTTATACTGTAAATAAGTGCCCTCTAAGAAAAAATGTTTTTTTACACAAATTTTTTAAAGATAT